GACAGGTGGCAGAGTGAGGGCCACAGTGAGGGGGTGACAGTTGTCAGTGAGGGAGGGGCTCACAGGGGGCAGAGTGAGGGGGTGACAGAGGGCAGAGTCAGGGAGGGAGGGGGTGACAGCGGGCTTAGTGAGAGGATGACAGTGGGCTTGGTGAGGGGGCGACAGGGGACTTGGTGAGGGGGCGACAGGGGACTTGGTGAGGGGTGACAGGGGCTTGGTGAGGGGTGACAGGGGCTTAGGTAGGGGGTGACAGGGGACTTAGGAGTGACAGGGAACTTAGGAGTGACAGGGGGCTTAGTTAGGGGTGCCAGGCCCCAGTGATGGGGTGACAGGGGACTTAGGTAGGGGGTGACAGGGGACTTAGGTAGAGGGTGACAGGGGGCTTAATTAGGGGGTGACAGGGGGCTTAGGTAGAGGGTGACAGGGGACTTAGGAAGAGGGTGACAGGGGACTTAGTGATGGGTGACAGGGGTGGGACTTAGGGGTGACAGGGGACTTAGTGATGGGTAACAGGGGACTTTGGGGTGACAGGGGACTTGGTGAGGGGTGACAGGGGGCTTGGTGAGGGGTGACAGGGGCTTGTGAGGGGTGACGGGACTGGTGAGGCGTGTGACAGGGGGCTTAGGTAGAGGGCGACGCCGGACTTAGTGGGAGGGGTGACAGGGACCAGTGGGATGGGGTGACAGGGGACCTAGGGAGTGACAGTGACCTGGTGAGGGGTGACAGGGGGATGAAGTTAGGGGTGACAGGGGCTTAGGTAGGGGTGACAGGACCTAGGGTGAGGGGTGACAGGGCTTGAAGTTAGGGTGATCGACTTGGGTGGAGGGGGGTGATGGAATCTGCGAGGGGGTGACAGGGGCCTAGGGTAGGGGGGTGATAGGGGACTTAGGGGTGACAGGGGACTTAGGTAGAGGGTGACAGGGGGCTTAGGGGTGACAGGGGACTTGGTGAGAGGGGACTTAGGGGTGACAGGGGACTTAGGGGTGACAGGGGACTTTGAGGGGTGCCAGGGGGCTTAGTTAGGAGGTGATAGGGGGCTTATTTAGGGGGTGACAGGGGGCTTAGGAGTGACAGTGGACTTGGTGAGGGGTGACAGGGGGCTTAGTTAGGGGTGACAGGGGGCTTAGGTAGGGGGTGACAGGGGACTTAGGTGAGGGGTGACAGGGGGCTTAGGTAGGGGG